CACACACACACACACACACACACACACACACACACACACACACATACACACACACACACATACACACGCACTCAAACAAAAATAAGTGTGACAATGTATATTTTCATGTTCTAGCGGTAGATTCATTTGATTTTGCTTTTTTTTTTTCTTCTCATTTTTCCACCATGAAATGTTTTTGTAATTAAAAAAAAAAAGACTGACTTGCCCCCCGAGACCCCCCCCTACCATCCCTGGGGGTCAACCCCCCCCCCTCCCCCCCACACCGGGCCCTGGCACGTTCGGACGAAGATCGTGCGTACGCTCGTACGGCTGTCCGTCCGTCCATACACACGGCTCGTATGAAGACCCTCCATACGACGTACGGGGGAGGTCACAAGGGTCAGGGGTCCCCTACCCCATCCCGTCCACTTGAGGAATAACGCCCAGGGAGAAAGGCATGGGACCAAGTAGTGGGCGGACCAATTCTGACCAGTAGGGGAAAAAGACCCCCCAAACATTGATCCGACATATCGGACGAGGAGTGACTCCGGAAATAGGAACATACGAGGAGGTACAGGGAAAAACCCATGACTGAATGTTGATTTCGGTCGGACGAATCAGGACCAGTCGACGACAGCATACGCTGTCGAGCGCATCGGCTTCCGCCTTTTTCGCAAAGGCGAGAGCCCTCCCGGCCATGTCACACAGGAGTAAACAAAACAAAACCAAGAGACAACTTTGGAACGATAGTTAACAACCCCCGCGAACCGCCAAGATGGCCGTGGTCGCGTCGCTCCTTCGCCGCTCTAACCGGGTGCGCCAGTTATACATCCCGCGGTCCCCTATGACAGAATAGGTTCCCGCGGGGCATAAACTTTCCTTTCCTAAAGGGTTGTCACCACCCTTAGGGGCGTATCCCTACCTAACTACTGACCTACGTGCGAAAGCTTTTAGATGCAATTGCAGAGGTAGGTCAGCCAAGGACGTTTGCTCGTTCGCTGTAGTATAGATTCGCTTGATCAACGTTGAGTGAACCCGAACGTCATTCGTTCTTAGGGCGCTGATCTCCTAAGTACGCAGCGGATGTCGGTCAACTAGGACGGTCTCAACCAAGCGTGAAACTCAATATTATCCTAGTCCCTTTTACACATAGTCAAAAAAAAGTTACAATATCCACAGATAATTCCATCAAAAGAAATCGACCGTAGTTGACAGGAACACATCCAATCTGAAATGATAACTGGGGGAATCCAAATCTTCATTTGATACGTCCAATAACGCAAGATAAAAAACAATCCGACCGCCCTAGGTCGAATACCACGAAACAATCAAACAACCGCCAATAAGGAGTTGACTTATTGAGAATAACAATGATGCAGCCGACAAGGTGGTTGGTCTGCCTTAGTTTCGACTTGATGAGACGCGCTGCCAATAGTCATTCTTTTCAGCCTACCGCCAACCTAAGATTAGACACGCACACGTTCATCTCCTAACATTCCCCATATTTTTAGATGATAGTCTGCTTTGCGAATGATTCTTGATCATGGGCATTGCTTGAAGTGTTGCATGCCTCTCCGTCTAGGAAGTGGTTTGGGATACTCCTCCTCCTCGTCCGAGCACAAGACTCGGATTTCAGAAGTCGGACCATCTCCACCGAATCGGCAAGTACCCCTCCGTAGAACAGTCCACTCCGGGTCAACAATAAGGTCGGCCCCTGAAGCAACGAACCCCCGCCCCAGATGCTTCCTAGGATACAAGATGTGTCCACTGCAAGTAACTCTCAAGTATTCTTATTTCTCTTGAATTCAGGGTAACTTGGATGAAAAGAAATCGAAACAGATAGAAAACGAGAATCATTTGGACAGGTACTGGTAGATAAGGTCGTTCGGGATAGAAAGGGTCAATCCTGGGAAAAGGTTAAGTCTGTTTGACCTTATTCTGCTTTATTTGAATCGAATTCGTTTACGACATGCACTGGATTAATATTTTCCAGAACAACGAGTCCTTTTAACAAGCAGACAGATAAAAGATAGAAAAAGGACAACCCTTTTCTTCATCTCAAATAGGCATAATCGATCTCCTTTGCAAGTATCATTCTACCTACTTGCACATCATGCAAAGAAAACAAGTTCAAAAGAAAACAATACAATTCTATACTCAAGTCACAAATTTTCATTCACATGCATGACTCACACAACTTTCCTCTACCTTTTCTCTTGAACGTTCAAAACGACAGGGTAAAGCAAAGTGCTGGTTCACACAAGTGTGAACGAAAGCCTGAGTCATTCAACCGACTTACTGAGCTTGAGTGAAGTTTAGATCCGACTCACTCCAGAAAGTCGAATAATATCTCAATCAAAGGAAAATGACCGCTGTAGAAAAATATGCGGCAAACAACTCATAAGTTATGGCCTTTCTCTTGAATGATGGTCCGCGCTGCCTCTTTCTCCAAGTGGCTGATCACACCAAGGTTGGGTCCAATGAGATGTATGAATGAGATAACCCTCAAAGAGGGTGTTCTCATGATCCAAACTCATGTCTCCCCACCATCCCGGACAGTCCCAACGCAGTCCCCAATGCACCATCACCACCAAGGATACTCCCCAACCAACGACAAGTCCACACCACCTCCAATCATCATGTCCACTCGCAATAGTCACACCAACATGTTGGTCCCCATCACAAAATCAGTCTCATACCATTGCCCTAAACACCAGATTGTCCAGAATTCAAATCCGCTCGCACCGCGTGCCGCAAAAAGAATAGTGGTGACCCTGGCTGAAAATTACATGTACCGCTCTCAGAGAGCGCGGTGTCCCGGCCCTCCTCCGTGTACCAAGTCCCTGCTTGGTACAGTCCCTCGCGTCGGGTCCTCAACCTGTAGACGTGTCTTGGGTTTCCGTTGCCGTTAGTGCCCAGGCCGTGCTTCGGCTCAGACCAGTCCTGGTGGCTGTGCCCTTGACAAAAGGGGTGCGCCACAGGACTTCCATTGGTCCACGCAGGCTCAGCGCCCTGCTGTACAGCAGAGCACAACCGGCCTGTGGCCGTGGTAGCCGCCGGGTTCGCCCTGGGACGCGGAGGTGAGAAGACTGGCTCAATCTTTTCAACTGCGCGCCAAGCGCCCCTGTACAGGGTTATGGGATAGGCACACGAGACAGGTCATTGTCGAAAAGAAAAAGGTTAATAAAGGGATAAAAGAAAAATAAAATGTGCAGGTGTAGAAAGAAAAGTTGAGCGTCGGAACTGCACTTAGATCGTGACCCTTGCTTTAATCTGGGATAATCTAGTGATATCGGGTCACTATACCGTTGAGTTTTTCTCTTTACTTTAATTATTACTATTATTATTATTATTACAATTATTATTAATATTATTATTGTTATTACAATTATTATTACCGACTTACCAGTTTTCAGGCGAGGATTTCCCTTTTCTTGGGTCCCGTCACTTCGTAGGGTGGCCGACGATTCGGGTTTCGAGTTCAGGCCGTGGTGTTGTGGCCTAGGCACGCGCAACCCTTCGTATATCACCTATATCGGGTCTGCGCATCTAAGCTCCACGCGGTAGGACCCCTGTAGCTGCATTAGAGGACAGATACAGTGGGGTTTGGAAAGGTGGGTGTGTGAAAAAGAAAAGAAAAGGGATGAGGGCGAAAGTTGGGTTTTAGATTTGTGCGTGAACGCAGGGTGCTGTTCGGTCGAGGCTGCTACGCGGAGAGATTTTGAAACGCCATCCATTCCTTTCTGCAATTATTATTATTATTATTGTTATAGTTTATTGATATTATTATTTAGTTTCCCTTTTCGTTCGATTGTCTGATCCGGTTTATCTTTCAGCCTATCATTTCGTAGGAACGCCAACGGTTGGAAATCCGGGCTTGAGCTATGTTGTGCGGCCTAAGTGGGCCGATCCCTTACATACAACATGCACCGAGCCTGTTTTGCTGAGTGTCGCGCTGTGGGACCTCAAAAGAGGAGCACCCGCGGTCGCGTTGGTAGGAGGAATATCACCCCCTGTAGAGGGTCATAAAACCCCTCCTTGCCATCAGACATGGGCACCCGGTAACTGTAGTCTGGTGTTCCCTTTTTAGAGATGAGGGTTTGCCAGATGGTATCTTGTTATGGGACCAACGTGCTAAGCTCGGTTGTCCTGTCTGTGGTGACAGGGCCTACGACCATTGGGGTACTGGCTCTGTTTTCGTTATTATTCCTAGTCTTTTTTTTATAATTACAAAAATTAAAGGAAAGGAAAAAGGGAAGTGATTCTGAAAATTTTGTTTGTTTCCTGCTAGGACACGAGGATTCGGTCCCCTCTGAGTTCTATAAGACAGGGGCTGATCTTGGGCTTCAAAAAAAAAAAGCATGGGTGAAGAGGGCATTGCCGCTACGCGAGTGTGAGTAGCGGTAATACGCTGAGTTGCTGATTCTCGACGGTATTCGAACTTAGCCTGACCGGCGTCCTTGCGTTCAGGGCATGCAAACTGAGCGCTGAACCTGGCTATTGAGGGAAGAAGGAGGCACTGGCCTGGGTGGTGTGCTTTCCGGCGAGCGTCACTGTGTTAGTGACCTGGCACTGCGTTGAGGCCATTGGGTACGGTCTAGCCATGGCGCTGCATGGCTATAGGCCTGGGTACTGGTATCACCAGGCCCGTTGGAAGCCCGTGTCCGAGGAAGGGCCCTGGATCACCGTTATACTCAACTACGACGGTGGAGACGAGGTGTTACTGAAGATCAACGTGGAGGGAGCAAAAGAGGTGGAGATGCGGACCGATGGAAAGCTGCAAGACGCGATTACAGAGGCCAGAGATCGAGCGGAGAGACGGTGTAGGAGGGACGGTGTGACGGCGAGACTACGGATAACGGTGACTTACCAAGAGACAAAAACTTCGATGGACACGACAGACCTAGAGCAGGCCCACCAGGAAAGGGACTCAGGCGGGGAGAGTGAGATGAGTGAAGTAGGAGATTGGGAAACGGACCTCAGGTCCTGGAACAGACCAGGCGAGATCCAGAGGCATCATCGAGCCACGAAGCCGGAGGAAGTGGGACCCGAGGCCAGCTCTGGACAGCTGACGCCCAGAGGCTGCGGGACGGGTGAGAAGCAAAACAGGGGAAAAAGACACGCGTAGAGTGTGAAGAGAACAACGGGGTCGACAAGGAGGGCTCTCAGAAGTCAGCACGTGTGCAAGCCAGAGCGGCGCACTTTGATGAAAAGGGAGCGCGAGAGAATAGCCAAAGGGGGCAATGCGGGGAGGCGGTTACGGCGGTAGTGCTCAAGGGTGGGGCCAAGTGTTTGTGTGTGAAGAGAGGTCAACGAGAGAGAGAAGCGGTGCGGGTGAGCAGCACACGATCTTGCTAGAGATTGTTGACGCCTGCCGCTGCCTCCTCTCGCTCAAGGCATCTAGTGTCTATTGAGCCGCGGCGAGTTTTAATGCCGTGCCAGAGTGACCTGCCTCAGGAGTTTTCTTTTTTTTTGTCACTCAGCAAGTGATCAGGCAACGTATCTTCTTGTGTTTTTCGCCAGAGTGACCTGTTTCGGAACGCTTCTTGCTCACTCGCTAAGTAATTACGGTGCGAGTGCACGAGGGAAGTGAGTGATCGGGACGCGCGCGGTACACGGGCTACACATGGCAGCCAGGGAGAGCTAGAAGAGAGTCGATGAAAGAAGAAGACTGGGCGAGCGGGAAGGGTACGAGCTCGCTGAGTACAGTTGACGTCACCACAGTTTTTCGCGGGACGCGAGTCATTTATCGCACCTGCTGAGAAGAATAGTGGGTCGGCTTGCTGGGCAAGCTTGGATTACAGGCATTGCCTTTGTCACTGACGAAGGGGTGAGTTCTCAAAAGAGAGGGGCGTGAACTAGCGAAATATGATGTGCACAAGCTGCTGACTCCACACCTTCACGAGGTGGTTATATGCGAGCACGGGCGACACGTAGCACGGGTAACATTGTTGCTCATACGTAGCACGGGTAACATTGCTGCTCATACATAGCAAGGGTAACATTGCTGCTTATACGTAGCACGAGTGACATCACTGTTCATACCGATGCTAGTCGTGCATACTGACGTGCTCCGCGCATGGTAAATGCGCTCCTCCTTCAATTGAAAAACTCTCGTGAGTGATGGCAAAGCGAGATGACTTTTGTTTAGTTCTAGAGTAACTGTGCAGAACGAAACCTTAGTTGCATATGTTAGTAATAAGGGGAAATCATGTATTCCGCCATTGCAAATGACTTTTTCGAGCAAGGCCGTTCTTGATGAGAGATCAAGACGGTAAAGACACGGCATGCGTGAGCTATGGATGGATGGGGAATCTTTAGATCGGACAATCATTGGCGCTAGACACTCAGGGAAAATAAGGGAGTTAGGCGAGTGGTAAACTCTCAGCTTAGGCTCAACGGTTGGACATGACAGTATTCGAAGGTAGTCAGACCGATTCATGACAACGAGATATAAAGTGGGTAAGAGGTTTTATGTCTGTGTGCTCTGAAATCGTAAGAGGTGTTGACATTTGCTGAGAGAAACAAGATAAATCAAGGTTCTGACTTATATCGTGTTTCTAAGTCTGACGAGTGACTTTGGTGGTATTTGTTCCCCTTCTCCTTTCACTGCATGAGATCACGAGTGTAACTAGGACCCTAGTTTTGAGTATGCATTGCCGTACAATCTTGCATGAACATGTGTGGGCGGGCGGACACCCAAGGACATGCATTTGCTGAAGTGGTGAATGTGCAAACTCATGGCAACACGAGTATGCAGATTAGCACTCGAACGGACTAAACGGATCTGTTCTGCTAAGTGAATTGTGGGGATGAATCACTGATTGTTTCATAATTCTATCCTCCTTGAAACAAATGGGAAGAAGGAAGTTAGCACTGAGAAAATTTTCCTATATCCTTGCTAAGTTTCTGCTTGATGGCGATTGAATAGCTCTCATCCTATTGCTCCTCTGGTCTGCATCGTTTAATTAAGAGAGAAGGGGGTTATTACAAAAGTTGTGCCAGACGGAGTGAGCTGCTCAGAAATGGTGAACCAGAACGTGCCTTTATTGCATGTCCTCCCCACCTGATTCGCAAAGCATGCCTAGTTGATTTAGGCACCAAGTTTTCACGCGTAGCGCTAGGTGGTCCGGACTGAGGTATCCGGGTAGCTTGGGCTCTGAGTTATGAGATCAAGGTTATCCTTTAGTCGGAACGCTGTCAGCGACATCCAATACAGGATGAACAGTACCTGATGCTAGGACTGTACTGTTACTAGTCAAGTAGGAACTGTATTCGGTGATGGCTCAGGCACTAACAGGACATGATTTGCAACAACAGTGCCGTCTTCTGATTAAGGGGAGGAAGCGTGTCTACTGAAAGCAAGTCTAGTAAGAAAAGGGGGGGAATGCTCGAATCTGTTTGATCATATTTTAAATTGCTGGTCATGTTAGCTGGGCTGATGTGAAAAGTTCAGACTGTGGACATGCCCCTGAGGACTGTACGCTTATCTGTCTAGTAGTAACCCACTCTTCAGTAGTAGATTCGCATGAAGTGACCTCACCGGGAACTCAATCGTCCAAGGGCATCCCGGTGAAAACCCTCAGTTGTCACACCCAAACTCAGTGACACGTGCCAGTGCAGAAATGAGGGCGTTGAGAGCGTATTAAAAGCAAACTGCACGTTAAATTAAGGAGAGGCAGAAGATAGAGAAGGGAGCGTTGCATAAGACACTCGCACTCACCTGAGGTATGACGAGACAAGCCCTGCAGGCGGTGAGCTAACGGAGATTCGTTGAAGTGCACCCTTTACAACTCGAGCCAGACTCAATTAACTCAGACCAGATTTAGATCACTCGAACCAGATTCAGACAACTCAAACCAGAATTAGGCATACTCAAAATAAACCTAAGCAGCTTAATGTAGATTCAGATATCTCAGTAGAGGATTGGAAAGCCCGGTGTATAGTCAAAGGACTTAGCGCGCCTTCAGCTCACTTACGATTGGTTTCGGTGAGTACAAATGTTACTCAGCAGGTGGGCTAGTTAGCGAGTGACCGAGTGCTGATTTGACAAACACGCTGCGGTCTTCTGGACCTATTTTGAGCCCTGCGAACTCAGACCTTCACAAATTTAAGCGGTGCACCTCCCCTGTTCTGAGGGAGAAATGTGATTATCTTTGAAGTAAAGTACTGCAGAGCATGCTTCATCATCTGTAACGAGAGTGACTCGTACCTAATGGCCGGAGTACTCAGCATTACCAGAATGTGCTGACTAAGTCCCTATGACCTCGAGCCCAGGGACAGTCCCGTGTTCTGCACGCAAGGCTTACTAAGCCGTCTGCAGTCAATCAAGTTTACTACCCTATTTAATGTTCGGACCCTGGTAAATTATAGGAGAGATGAGAGAAAACGAGGTCCTACTAGTGAAGTGCAGCTCAGTAAAAGACAAAGGGGAAAAGTGGGAGGAAGAGGCCTTCTCAGATATGGAGACTCATAAACTTACTCAGAGAGGGTACGCAGTAGAGATGGCCACAGGTAAAAGGTATATTGAATACATGATTTACTTCTACGGTGGTAATGGTCGGTTGCACTGTACCAGTTCATTTATGGAAACAGTTGAACACGTCAGGCTAAGACTCGTGTAAAATAAGGAGTACTCAGACTCTCTCATCACAGTTTCCCTTGATGTCTTGGTTGAAGAAAGTTCTACTTGCCATCTGCAGTTTTCATCAAGTCAGAAACTCATAACCATTGTGTGCTGTCAGAGTTTAACCAGCAACTCAGTTTAACAAGTGTCACGACGAAACCTGCAAACCTTTAAATTTTTGGGTGTTAGAAGACTAGCGTCCGTTGATCCCTTTTTATTCAAACAACATTCAATCAGCATCCAGGCACTACTCAGACAAACGTACAATCAAAGTTTAGTCAGCAGTCCCGGCAGCGTTCAAATTAGTCATCAGCAATCAGTCATCAGCAATCAATTAATCAGCAATCAGTCATCAACAATCAATTAATCAGCAATCAATTAATCAACAATCAGTCATAAGCAATCAATTAATCAGCAATCAGTCATCAACAATCAGTCATCAGCAATCAATTAATCAGCGATCAGTTATCAACAATCAGTTCTCATCGATCTGTTCTCAGTGGTCATCTAGTCAATCTGCACGGGCTAATCTACCCATGAGTACAGTCGAATCCTTTCGAGTTAGCGAGTCAGTGCTGACCAATCTCAATCAGATTTCATGCAAGGAGGCATTCCGCTATCAGTATGCTAGTGCCATTGGTTTCGGACAAGGAGATCTGTCAATCTTCGATGTCCAGACCAGTTTTGCAGATGACACTATCCACGATCTGAGGCCCTATCTGAAGAAGGGTAAAGACGCTCATGAGCATTTTGACGTCGTGTGGATCTCCGCCACGAGGTATCTCGAGCAGAGAGAGAGAGAAATCGATGAGAGTGGCACCAAACTGATCCGCGGCTTTGGACCCAAGCTTTATACGGACTATCCTAAGCGTTCCGTCCCTTCCCTTCTCACAGATGGCACGGGCTGGCATGATATGGTTGGCCTGGCAAAGAGGTATATCTCTCCAGCGGTGATCGACATTGAGGCGCTGACAGAGCCAACCGAGTACCCATACCTTAGGCGAGGAGTCTTCACAGTGGACGGGCTGCCTACGTTGTGGGAGAAGTTCTGCTCTATGGTTAACTTTCGTGTTATGTACCTCGGATGGTCATGCTCAGAGCTTGTTGGCTTCCGGTGACTCTTTGTCACGAGGTCTCAATCTCAGATTGTACGTGGGCATGAGTCACTGCACCAGAGATGAACAGTGAAATGAGAGATTGAGAGAGACTGACCAAAGGGATGAGTGAGAACTCTTGAGAGGTGCTGACCATGCTTGCTTAAATGTACTTTCTGAGATTATTATGAGTTCTCATTCTTCCCTCATTTATCTTGTCTTTGCCTTGAGTCAGTCGGTCTTGATCTCCTCCATGACATTGCTTGATGGTTATGTTCTCGTTTGCTTATTATGTCACAGTTCTCAAAATTCCTAAATTGGCATCTCAATACAAACACAACATATTTGTTTCAATTGTTATTATTTGCTTTAT